CCCCTCTCCGACGGGACATCATCCACGCCCAGGCTGCACGAACAGGTCCCGAGGCCCAGGCCAAACAGGCCAAGGCCAGACCGACAGTTGACTGAGAAGTCAACGGTCAACTCGTGGACCCAGGCCCAGACCCAGGCCCAGATCCAAAATGTCCAAGTCAGCTCATAAGATTTTCTGGCCATTGATTGGGAATGATCTAACAGTGGTCTGCAGAAAATCTTATGTGTTGACTGTTAGATCATTCCCAATCGATGGCCAGAAAATTTTATGTGTTGACCGACAGTTGACTGAGAAGTCAACAGTCAACTCGAGGACCCAGGACATTTTCTGGCCGTCAGGTCCGGAAGACTCAGGCCTCATGGAGCCCAGCCAGGAGGGACCGACACTATGACTGAAGCTGGCCCTTATGACCCCGAGTCAATGCGAAATAGAGTTGACTTCGCCACCACTTGGGTATTCGGTCTTGCGAGTTGCTTGCGGCTTCAATGCTGCACGTGAGACTTGAGAGTTGCGTGCTGGCGCCAGTCTGTTTCATGGGCGCCAGCCGGGTAGTGTAGTAGAAGAGGAGAGAGAGGTGGCGACGGCCATAGCTGCGGCCATTGATGACGGCGAGGTAGTGAGGAGAGGGACAGAGAGTGTGGGTGAGGAGAGAGGCCATGCATAGCCGCGGATGACGTCCTTCGATGGAGGTGCGCTCTTTGGAGATAAGGCTGCATTCTCCACGTGTCAGATTGGGATCAGACTGCTGATGTGTCAGAGGTGGAGGAGCCCGGTGGAGAAGAGGGACATGATTGTTACTTCCTCTCTTCCCCTTCCAGTCTGTGTATCCTCCCCCATCGCTTGTCTAGTCTGGTTACTCTTGGACTGGGAAATGCACACGTGGCAGCAGAATATCGGGTGCTTCATTGTGTTCCCATCTGATTGATTATTCGGGGACAATTATCACGTGACATTGCTAGTTATCGATTTGCTGTATTGCTGGACAGACGAGTTTGGGTTCATTACAACGCGAATGTATACAAGCTGGCTTTCCTGTTTGATGCAGTCGGGATGAATGGTATTTTTTGCCGAATGTGATCGTTTGCAACTTGCACAGGAGGTCGAGCATGGACGTAATTTGTTTACAGAAACTTTGCGCTATTAAGGAAACGTATGTGCATGTGTGTGTGTGTGTGTGTGTGTGTGTGTGTGAGAGAGAGAGAGAGAGAGAGAGGGAGAGAGAGAGAGAGAGAGAGAGAGAGAGAGAGAGAGAGA